GGTTTGTACTAGTAAAAAATTCCAATGCCTTGAAATTAGACATAATATATTTGAGTGTGAATTTAAATACATCTGAAATGGTTTATAAAAAACTATGAAATTTATAAGAGCAATAATATCTTCTTTTGAAAGTTTTTTTACAATTGGGTTTAAATATTCTAAAATTATTTTTAATAAATTATTAATGCCTAATTTATTATATTCAGTAAGAATCTCAATAATTAATAGTAATATTAAACCTTCTAAATTAATATTATCTGTATAAAGAAATAATATTATCTTGTATATTGCATTATAAGAAGATTCTGAACAATTAACAATATAGAAACTATTTTTTTTTGTTGTCCAAGTTGTTAAGAATAATATAAAAAATATTCTAAACAAGTATATAGGATTTGAGAATATGCAGTTATCACAGGATTAGTCTTGATTAAACCATTTGTATTTTCACTAAGTTCAAAATAGTTTTTAAAATCTTTTTCTAATGATTTGCCAAACATCTTAATAATTTTGTAGTTACTTTATACATTGATTTCTGTAATCTTATTTATAAAGAATTATGTAATACAAGTCTTATTATTGTCTAGTATTCTGTACTATTATATATTTCAGATATTAATTTAAACACACTCAATCCTATTTTATTTATACATCTTTTTTGCTAACATAAAATTACCAACTATGACTACACATGTCAAAACTAATGCTATAAATAGTATTTACTTAAAAGGCATCCATGAACATTGGAGTATGCTTAATAAAAATGAACAAAATGATTCATTAAAAATCTTTATCAAAAATGTAAAAAGCAATAGCCAATATGTAAACAACATTTTTCAATCTACAAAAAATAACTACAGATATTTATTTTTAAACAAACTTGACCAGAACCTAGTTTTATTATTATTATGATTATTTATTCTGTTACCTAAAAACAACTACAATAAATATTTAAATATTCTTTTAGAAGAATTTATATATTAGCTAAAAGATCTAAGAAAATATCATTAGAATATCAATAATAAAAACATATCATATTTTTTTGGAACACATTTCATATCAATGAAACAAGAAAACCTTTTTTTGATCATATAGGATGTTTTTAATTAAAACAGCTCAGATTACATATATCTCATTTTGAGATAATTGAGTTTAATCATTTGTTTTGATTTTCAAACTGATCCAAATTAACCAAATTTTATAATTTTAATTGATTAAAAGTAACAGGTGATTATTAAATAATCCTGTAATATGTTTGGTCTTGTATAATTTTTCTTTTACATTTTTCTATATTATCTTTATTTTTTATTATACAAATTGACTTTTATTTATAATTAAAAAATGTCAATCATGTCAAAATATATATGACTTTAATAAAAACTTGTTTTTTTAAAAAATATAAATCTGGGCTGTTTTAATTAAAAACACCTCATATTTGACAATATTGTTGAAAGAAATAATCATATGATTTACTACTACTTCTTGATAAGTTAGTACTAAGAATAATTAAACACCATGGTTTGCAAACTATTTGCAACACAATTAGAATAAAAGAATTAGCCAAAATATGTAAATGGTTTTTTGACTTATTACTAAACTTCTATTCATAAGTTCAGTATAAATAGGTTGATAAGAAATATGCATTTGAATATGTAGAAGATAAAATACAACATCTTTAGAAAGCTAGAAGAAATGTGTTTTCAGTATAATAAGCATAAATTATCATATATAGTAAGTTGGTTGAAAAAAAGTAATTTGTGATATCTAAGTTGTTTTTTAAAAATAGAATATTTAAGATAAGAGAAAAGAAGAGATTTAAGAAAGATAGCTCTGTCATTTAGAGTAAATAAAATGTTATAAGTTGGATTAGTTGAAAATGTCTAGCCAATATTAGGGTGAAACATCAACTAAGTAATCAAAACTATGTTAGCAACATTGATCAATTTACTAAAATTAGATTTTATTAGCAAAATTGATAATAGTAAATTAAATATTATCTTTATATTATTCAATTATTAAAAATATGCAAATTTCTAAAAGATTCAGAAGAGTATAGGTCCCATAGCTTAGTGGTTAAGCTCCTATATCCTCTACAGTTAAGGTCAACAGTTCAAGTCCAGCTGAAGGCAAAATTGAAAGATTTTAGTTTTTGTAACCTAATAAGGAGTCTGTAATTGAATGCAAAGCTCTGTGGTTAAGTCCAAGTGCAGTACAATGATGGAAATAGGAATTCTTGGAAGAAGACCCAATTGTAGAGTGCAGACACTATGTGTAACAAGCAGTTGTTACAGAAGGTTACAGTTATAGAAAGATTATACACATAAGTTTTTTAGGCTAGGGCAGCACCAACATCCTTATACCTTCTAATATAGGCAGTACCAACATCACTGCATCTAACTTGTGGGGTACTTGCTTGGAAGGATAATCAATAGATTGTGCAAATAAGTCTTAATTAGGATTCAAGAAGAGGATTTGATTGGGAGAGTTTTTTGAAAATAACCAAGACTGAAATAATGAAAAAAGTAATGAACACAAGGATGGACTGTGATAAAGGATTGGTTTAACCAAAAATTGAAAGCACTTCTGGCACAGCTGAATAATCTAATTATAGAAGAGAAAAATCTTGGAGGTTGGTGTATAACTTTCTTGTGTAATATAAAAGTACCAAATCGGGTTCCTGGTCATACCTATAAGGAAGTCTATAATAAACAAGACTGGGATTAACCAACCAATATGAGATAAGATCTGCAAAGTGGTATGGCATCACTGGAGTTAGTGTAACTCTCTGAGTCATAACCAGAATTGTTTTGCAGGTATTATCAAATAAGCTGGAAGCTTGCTATATATAGTAGTATAGTATCACTAGAGTTGAAGGAACTTCCTAAGTATAACCAGAATTGTCCTGTTTATAAGCACAACAAGTCTCAGTCTACACCATAGAAGGAAGCACCATGTTGGAGGTTAAATACAACAATGAGTTACTGTATGATGTTAAGACCTGGAGCATCTGCAAGAACAGTAGCAGCAGACCTGGCTTAAGATATGGATTGGTCAAAAAAAGACTAATAATGGCAGCAGATCTGGCTTGAGATACAGGTTTTTTGCAGATTCTGGACTATTGTCAAAACATCTTAGAGGAATCAATAACAGGCATACTAAAGATGGAAAGATCATAAGGACCAAACATACCCAAGTAGGACCAATTTGGAAGTAGTACAGTGACAAAAAGGTAAGAAATGTGGGGAACAAGGTAATACTAGATATAGTTAGATTAAGAGGCAGAAAAAACAAGACCAGGTAAAACATATAAGTGGGACATATTGGTATAATTTACAGAAGTCAGTACTCCTGGCATTTGGGATACTGTATTAAGTTTAGTAGGTATCCTTATCTGTGTAGTGGTTTAATAGTACAAGTGGTTGTTAAGACAACTGCATGCAGACATGTAATAGATATGCACTTAGCTGCCATATGGGTAACCAGGTAAAGTTAGTGATATAAAATTAGATAATATATAGTACTAGTAATAATTAATCCTAAAAATGTAACTGTAAATTTGTACTTTATCAAATTAAAGCTAATAAACCAACTGGCATTGTCACTAAAGGAAAAAAAAAAAAAAAAAATGAAAAATTGCACTTATTTTTCATGATTTTTTTAAATGAAGAGCATTCATTAGAACTATCTCAATGGTTTTATCCCTTAAACCGTCCAGCATCCAAATTTAGACACTAAAATGATTTTTTGCCGATTGTTATGTAATTACTCCTGAATTTTTTAAGATACCCTCTTACCATTTTTAAGATAAAATAAAAATAACACATATCACCGATCATATTTTATTAAAGGGTCTGTTAAAGTCAATGTACCTTTATACGGAATCAACCAATCAAGGCTGTGAATTTAGATTAGCCCAATGAAGCAAAAAAAGTGATAATATGAGAAATACGAAAAAAAGACAGTCAAACTCTACTTTATAGCACTAATTAAAAGTGTTCAAGAAGTAATTTTACATGTAATGTAGCAACTTTGCTATGCTTAATCTCAAACTGGCCCTAGCCCAATTCGATAGAATTTATAGAATACTTCGCCTTAAAATAAACTTTAATTTTTTTGGTGCAGAAACTTTAAATAAATAAGTAAATTGAAGTCAAACTTGTTGGTACCGGTTCATAATATACATTTGCATGCATCGTGACTTATAAATTATTTCTCAAACACAATTAGAGTTTGAAACCGAATTTATTTAAATCTGAATTTATTTAATTAGTGATCTTCAGCTTCAGGATTTAAATAGTTTAATTGTATGTATATTCGTACATACATTCTATGGCAAAAAAATTCGACAACCTAAAAGACAATAAATTTATCGTACTATTTATAATTACAGATATTCAAATTTTTTTGTTTTTGTGCCAACATTGCAGATTCGGTAGAATCAAAGAATTTAAATCGAATCTGAAGGAAATTGGATTTAAATCTGAATACCGAATCTAGTTCCAATCTCTAATCATAATTCAAAATTATGGATTAAGAACTGAGCACTATTGTACAAAAAAAAAACACTACAGTATTAATAAAAGCCTATCGTGAATCAAAAAAAAAAAAAAAAATTAAATCCTATATTAAACTCCAATTAGAATTTATCGGTATGCTCACTTGGAAACTTCGTGTTAAAATAAACTTTAATTTTTTTGGTGCAGAAACTTCAAATAAAATAAGAAATTGAAATCAAAATTGTTGGTACCGGTCCATAATATATTAGATAAATGGGCTAAACCTGTTTTTTAAATTCTACCTTCGCATGCATCATAACATATTCAATAAATCATTTATCAGACAAATTCTTGCAGATCTTTTTATTGTAATCAAAATTATGGATTAAGAATGTGATGACCTTGAAACTAAACAAAAAAAACACACAATAAATAAAATCCTATGTGAAAAAAAAAAAAAAAAAAAAAAAAAAATTCCTAATTGTTAATAATTGTTAATAAATCATGTCCTCTAAATTTGCGTCATCTTCGCCTTCTCTTGAAATTCCGGAAACAAATGTAGATGATGAGGAAGAATACATACCCCTTTTAACAACTCGCCGGCATGACCTGGATAATACAGAATCAGATAATGAGAATGAGGATGAGAAAATAGAATCAGAACTAAGAAGTGCCCGCACAAAAAAGCATAAATTACCAGAAAATGTACAACGAGAATTACCACCACCACCTTCTGACTTTGAACAATTCGTTCATCAAAAGCCATTGCACTGTGCATCTGTTCAGCTGCCATCATATCTTGATGTTTCTGTCTCTAAACCGATAGATTTTTTTTTTCTTTTTTTTACAATTGACATGCTAGACCAAATTGTTGAAAATACAAACCTTTATGCATTAACAAAAGGTGCTAGTGTAACTGGTAGGCAATGGTTGGACTTAAGTCGTAAAGAGCTCATCATCTGGATTGCCCTTGTTATTTATTAAGGACTTTATAGGCTGCTCTCTCTTGATCAATATTGGAATGAGAATGAAAAACTTTCCATTCACTATATCTCAAAACAAATGTCACTAAAACGCTTCGAAATAATTAAGAGGTTTTTACATATTTCTCCCCCGCTATTTTAATTAATAATTATTTTGAGAAATTGGAACCATTGCTTTCGCATATCTGTGACGTCTCCAAGCAGCTTTACATACTAAATTCGAACGTCTCAGTCGACGAGATGATAATTAGATTTTCTGGCAGGAGTGTTCATACCGTTAGAATCAAGAACAAGCCGACTCCAGAAGGCTTCAAAATTCTGTCTCTTTGTGAATCTGGGTACACTTACACCTTCCTGCCAATGTCGCGTGTCTCTCCAATACAAGTGACAAAAATAAGTGGCCTTAATCAAGTTGGATGTTTGGTTCACCATCTTGTTGAACAACTTCTATACTGAAATTTTCATACAATATATATATGGACAACTACTTTACCAGTATTCCTCTTTTTCAACATCTTCGGCAGATCAATGTTGGTGCTTGTGGAACTATTCGGAAAACTTCCTCTGGCTTCCCAAAAGAATTAAAAGTGGAAAAAAATGTTAAACTAGATTGGAATGTCCGTTCTGATGTTAAAATAAATGGTGCATTGGTAGTTTTTTGGCAAGATAATGGGCCCGTAACAATGTTAACAACAATTCATAGGCTTGTTGGTGATGAATGGGAGGTGGAGCGAGAAAGATGGCGACCAAGAGAAACAAGCACAAATGCAGTGAAGATGCGTGCGGTATTTGGAACTGAATCAAAAAAAAAATTAAAAATTCCCAAAATAATCGATGACTACAATAATTGTATGAATGGTGTGGTGTTGCGGACCAACTAAGGTCTTATTACAGTATACAACAAGTAACTTGGCGAAATTGGATGCCACTTTTTTTCTGGCTTCTAGATACGGCTATTATCAACGCATATCGGATTGTTAGAACTTTGGGATCGACAAAGGAGCATAAGGAGTTTTGTTATGAGCTTGTGTGGGACCTTATAAATTTTGCAAATGATGATAGTGGTGTTAAACTGAGAAAAAATTCAGTAGAAACCAAACCAGAAAATGAAACAAAGCGACTGAAGGCAACAAAACATTTCGAGCTCTCGGACAAATGGCTTATTCCTGAGAACCACTTAGTTGAGTGGAGGGAACAGCGCGTGGCATGTCGATGGTATACATGGCTTGCAAATAAAAATGAATTGGATATGGATCATAAGTCATCACATAGAAGTAGTTTTTGGTGTGTGTCGTGTAATGAACCTCTTTGCTGTAATAATAACAGGAATTGTTTTTTACAATTCCATACCACTAAATAACACAAAAATTTAAAGCATTAAAATTTAAAGAATAATTTGGGTCTGGTAAAAAAATTTTCCAAAAAAAAAAGCACGCTCACTTTACATACTTCTTTAGTGTCTTGTTCACATGAGATGCAAGTAATTAAATATGGGTTATTAAATTAGCTATAAATTAAAAAAAAAATAAAAAAAAAATTACTGTAAGAAATCATAGCGATAATCATTTAAAGTTGGATTAACATTTATGTCATACGATCGATTACATTTTAAGCATAATTTGACAAATAAATAAACCTTTAATAGGAAAATGTTGATTCCTGAGTATGCGTTGCCCAAGTAAACCAGAATTAATATCGATATACACAATTTTAAATTTAATATTAAATTTGAACACAAAGCGAAGCAAGAGTGCATCGATTCAATAAATAACTTCATAGTAGTCACAAGTGTATTATTCTAATTATTATTTTTTTTCTCAATGAAAAAATTACACTAGAGCTTCCAGCATACAAAATCCTTTTTAGCCTGGCAAATATTTTTATTTGATTTGACAAATACATGAGTTACCTTCATTTGACATGATAAATACACATTTAACCTTTGTGCGATGTAGCAAAAATGACCAATATTTACCTAATAGCGAAGAACACATTCCCATCATTAGCTTGTGCAAAAAAACCTATAACTTGATATTTGAAGTACTACAAAATATTTTTAAAATCATACATTATGGTCTAATTACCAGGGCGGCTTAACAATTTCAAATTATGTAAAATATTTCTTAGCTGCAGCATAACATATTAATGTAACTCGAATTCGTGTTCTTTGTTCAAGATACATGTTATATGTAACACTGCAGCTAAAAGGTATGCTGTGTGACTTGAGGTTCTGGAGCTTCATCCGGTAAATTTAAATTAAATTTTTTAATAAAAAAAAATTTTTTTATTAATTATTTTTTTTAGTAATTTTTAGCGTGTAAATTTGTATGCTAAAACAGACGGTTTAAGGAATAATGAATTTTTTGCAAAAGCCCTAAGTGAGTTTTAACTTATGATTTAAAAATAAATTTTTTTACTCTAAATCAATAAAATTTAAAACATTTTATAAGACAAATGCCCAAAACTTATAAGTTGATAGAATTTATCGAGCATTATTTTATTCTTTAGCATTTTATAAGCAATTTGTGAAAGTTTCAAGGTAATTTAATGTTTTGACAAGAAGTTGAATCATTTTGAAATTATTTTTATCAATATTAGTAATTAAGATTGTTGAGATCGATATAATTAAGGAATTTAGAGCTTAATTTAACTTATCAGTGATGTAATGTTGCATACATTAGAACTATATAAAAGATTCAATTAGAATTTTGACAAACTTCTATTTTAATTGGTATTATTATACAACTTTGAAGCATTAAGTGCAGTTAAGATAAAAGTTATTAACTGAAATCATTATACAACTTTGAAGTACTAAGTGCAGTTAGAGTAAAAATTATTAATAAAAAAGTTATTTGGCATAAGAACATATAAGTGGGTCGAATATTAAACATTCCTATATTAATTGTCAAAAAAATGTAAGATTGTTATTTGACCTTTTGTGAATTGTTTATAAAAATTGATAAATTATAATGTCATATTAGACCAAATGCCAAAAGTATTCAAGTGAAAGCTTATACATATAAAGCAAGTTAAGCATCAGTAGATACATGAAAAGCCATCAAATGTAACAAACAAGTCTATAATATTAGTTAAATGCTAACACAAATAGATAACAATAAATTACAGTTAATTTATCAAAACATTGTTCAATTAATTAATAATGAAAAAACAAACTGAATAACATTTTACCAAAAGTTAGTTAATATGATTGAACAATTACCTGATGATCAATTGAAGCCTGCAGCCTATTTATTTAATAAAATGAGGTATGATAAAGGGACAAATGAGAATAAACTGCTTTCACCTTTTTTACAAGATAAGGCATTAAACTTTATAAAGATGTCTTTTTACAAACCATATTAAGATTCTGGCTCATTAGTTCAAAACAACAAAATTTTGCAAAAAAAAATAAATTAACTAGAAAATTTGAATGCTAAAAAAATTAATAAGGTCAAACAATTAATAAGAACATTATCACATTATAAATATAAAAAAAGTTAACATATCTCAAAAGTTCATGCTATTGCACATAAATCTCAACTTGTAGATTTACAAAGCTTGAATGCAACTATTTAGACAATGATTATGAAAGATAAGCATCATTATACAACACAATTCATAAATATGATAGCTCAAATATTGCAAATTGGTCAAATATCATTTAGAAGTACAGTTCAAGTTATACAGTTAATCTTGGGTTTTTTAACTGAAAAAAGTTTATCTTTGCCAATTTCATCTAGATTAATTATTCGATAGAATCAAGAAATTAGTGAAATTCACATTGATCAAATTTTAAATAAAAATAATTTTTCTATCTTTTTTACTTTTGAAATAATGGTAGATGAGTCAACTCATGGTTAGCAAAAGATATTTGTACTATGCATCATATTCTGGAACTTAAAAACAAATCAGCCTGATTTTCAAGTATTAGAAATAAAAGATCTGGCAAATTGTACAGGAAAATAGTAGCTTAAACAATGTACAATATTTTAAATCATTTAAAATTAACCTATATCAATGTTTAGTATACATTTCAGACAATACAAACTACATGAGTGGAAAAGCTAATAGTGCAATTACTTTATTTAACAAAATAAGTAGTGCTAAAATGATTTGAATACCCTGTGGACTTCATGTCATACATATTATTATAAATATCTTTAAGGAAACTGCCTTTGGAAAGTTACCTAATATTAGTAGAGTTTTACAAAAAGAACATCCAGCAAATCTCTTATACTTAGTCTAGGACCTTCATGATAGTTATAATAAGTCAGATAAAGATAAACCAATAGGAGTTTATTCTGACTATATTTACAGACTTTATGAAGAATAATTTCAATATTAAATGACAAAATATTAACAACCACTTTGGTCAGATGGCTTTATGAATTGATATGTGCTAAACAATATTTAGAACATAAAAGTATTCACATACAATTTGCAGAATGGTTTTTATTACAACTTAAAGCTCAAAATTATGTGTCAAAGTCATATATTAAAAAATAAAAATTATTAAAAAAATGGCTTGGTGATCTAATTTTAAACTTACAAGTTAAATTTTTAGTTTGATTTGGCAAAGACTTTTATTATCAATAGCTAAATTTTTAACAGAATATGATTCTGAACTATATGTACTTGACCAAACTTCTAAACCAACAAATCTTTCTTCTAAAAGGCATGCATATCAAATGTCAAATTTTGTAACATATACAATAGCAAAGCTTCAAAATATTATTGAGAATTCCTATTTGTTTTTTAAAGATAAATTGTTAGAAAGTACCAATATACTAGATAATTATCAACTTAATAAACTTATTTTAGATGTTGAACATAGTGCTCAGAAAGTATTAGAACTTCAAAAATAGTTGAATTGTTGGTTGCATTTGCCATTAAGTATTTGTCACTTAGGTGGAAAATATAGATAGGAGTTTGCATGAAGTTATGCTTTTATTATTTTAAAAACATCTTTATTATTAGTACCTTTACTGCAGGAACTATGTTATATGAAACTCATTGAACTAGACATTGAAAATGGCAACTTTAATAACTTTGGTCTATTCAATGCATTAAAAATCGATCTTTAATTATAAATTTCACCAATTCATTCAAGAAAAACAAAAGTCTTTAGACCAGTTTCCCAAGTTATTGGAATTTGTCAAATACTAAATTTGGTATATCGTAATTCATTAACAACAGGTCAAAGGTCTCTTCAATAAATAGGATCTCAAAACTTATATAAACATGACAAGTAACTTCAACAATCAAAACTACAATTATCAAATATACCACTTAAAGAAATTGGCTGTAACTCTGTAGACTTAGTGGAACTAAGAGCTGAAAAACAGTAGCAATTAAAATCTATACACAAACAAAATTCGAAACAAAAAAACTTTAAAACTGGCAAATGTGAAAAAAGAGCAAATCTTTTATTTGAAAATTTATTCTGCAAAAAATAAAATTTTAATTTTATTTATTATTATTTATATTAAATTTGCATATTAGCATTATTATTTTTATTGTTGAATTTGAATAAAAAATTGATTGTTATTTGTATAACATAAAAAATCTGTGATATGTAAAATTACATAGTTTGTTAACATAGTTTTGATTATTTAGTTGATGTCTTATCCTAAGCCAATATGCTTGATAAGCTGAATAATTTTAATGTTTGTAGTTAGACAGTTGAAATTATCAATAATAGGATTAAAATGTAAAAGGATATTGGTAGAGAACCAGAGGTAGTTTTGTAATTGTTAAATTTGTATACAAGTTGATATGCCTAATAAATTAGGATTATTAAGTTATTTGAGAAGCTTAGAAGTTTTTTATAATGTTAAAAGAGTATAGCCTGTAAATTAAGATGCAATTCTGTAGATAAAAGGGTCATGGTAAATATGCCAAAATAATAGTATTATTGTTTTTCTTTAATTAATTCTATTTTTGACAAATATGAATCTGTAAGTTCAAAATTAGTTATAACTCAGTTGTGGTGATTATTAAGCAGATTAGTAAGAACTTTTACTAATTTAGATAGCATGTTAATTCATATTAAAAACTTGTAAAAGAGGTTAAAGTTTACTGAGTCATAAGCTTTGCTCATATTCTAAGATATGAGCCAAAGTTCTTTGAAGTTTTAAGAGGCTTTTTTAATTATATTGTTAATTATATAGATTGTTATTGCTGTACTGTTACCAAAAAGAGCAATATAGTTATAAAATAATAGTATTGGATGTAAGATAAAAGTAGTATTTAAGCAGTTTGTAAGGAGTTTGGTATATAATTTTTTAATATGTTCTAAAAAACTAATAGATCTGATATTAGTTAAATTTTCATCAATGATAGGTGTTTTGGAAATAGAAAAGATTTTTGCTTCTTTCTATTGTTTAAGTATACTGTTAGTTAAAATGCATTGATTAAATAAGGCAGTTATAGCTTGAAGAAATAATAAACTAGCATGTTTAAGCATTTTGTAACTTATGCCTAAAGGGTTACAGGCTTTATTATTTGGAAGTTTTGAAAGTATATTAGAAATTTCTTCTTCAGAAAATTCTGCTAATATCTCTTGATACAATTCTAAATAAATGTTTGTTTTAGGTTGATATTCATTATACTAGGAAGAGTTATAAATTTGGTAATTAATTTGTTTATATGCTGTTTATTGATTGAAGTGTTATTAAATATGTTTTAATTTTTGTACTTTTGTAACAACATCATGATTTGTTTTAATGTTGTCAAAATTTACCAAGTCTTTGTGATAATTTAATATGCTGTTAATTATTAATTTTGGTTAAGACTAAAGTTTATCACATCTTTTAGCTATATTTTTATTAATCTGTTGTCTAATTATTTTGATATTTTTAACATTATATACATTATAAAATGCTTTTTACTTGTCATTAGTATTTGAGATCTAGTTAATTAACAGGTCATGCTTGTTGGTAAAAAAGGAATAGTAAGATTATCAGCATTATTAAGTTGTTAAATTATGTTATTAAGTTGTATAAACATAATTGTTTAGTTTCATAATGAGGTTTTAATTTGTCAAATTATATTTTCTAGCTTTTTAAGACTATAATATAAAAAGGAAACTTTGGCAGAGTATATGTATTGAAAGTTGCATATTGTAACTTTTTTGTTAGAAATATGTTTAAAAGCAGCTAAAATAATACTAGTCTGAATTTTGTACTATGTTGTTTCTAAAAATTCTGTTGTATTAACAGTTGTAGGTATATAGTTAGAACTAAGATTGGTAGCCACTTGATCAATATATAATTGCCAAAGTTTTTCATTCTTTTTTTTATGAAAAATGTTTTTTTTTCAAGTTTTGGTTGCAGAACATTGTTTGCCAGAATAAGTATAAGGAAAAAACCAAGAGGAAATTAAGATTTTATAATTACTATTTGTGCTAGTTTTAGAGTCATTTGGTATTGTATAAGGTGAGATAGTGGATATTTAAGTGGTTTGCCCAAATATAATCAACTCAACTTTTGAAATCAGCTGCTTTGTTAAGTATTGAATAATAATTAAGTATGAGCAGCTAGGTTGTACATATTATTATATTGGAGAAAATTAATAATTTGTATTTAATAGAGAAAGAATGTAAGCTATCATCAGGAGCATTGAAGTTTTCTAAAATAATAGATTGTAAGTTTGAACTTGTGGCTTGTTGAAGCCATGAAATAGCAGTATTTTAAACAGTTAATCTGAGTTGGATGTTATTACAAGGTAGATATATTGCTATAGTGTAGAATTTGAAGTTATATTTAAAGAAAAGATTAATAGCAATAGCATAACTAGAGAGGTTGTGTATTTTGTAGACATGTAGTTTGAGCAAGTTATTAATTATAATTGCAATATCAGCTTTTGTGCTATTGCTGCATGACTAGTAGTATATAAAGTGTTTGGATTTTTGTAATTTTGTTATTGCATTTGTATTAGCTATTTTAGTTTCAATAATACTAACTATATTAAAATAGTTGTTAAACAGAAGTTCTTTCACATTTGCTATTTAAGGTCTTCATTGTAGTCTTGAATATTATGAATACTAATTAATAGCTCAAGAGGTTTAATAAAAGAAGTAGATTACAAATTTTCATTTATTAAGTTGGAGGACTAAGATGTAATTATATATCCAGAAGAGAGTATATTGTTTGTATTTATAATATTAAAGTATATAGTTGTTTTTTATTTGCTTTGTAATTTAAATTTAGTATTAGTTGATATATAATTAGCAGTTTAGAAATTAAATTAAGATTTAAGAAGTATAGTAAGAAAGTTAGTAATAAAAGAAATATAATGGTTTGGTAAAATAGTAAGCTCATGTAGTAGATAAATGTGGACTTCTGTTTTGTCTATCTTTAGTGTTATTATAGAAGTATTTAGTAAGTATATAGAGTTAATTTGTTGTAAATATTGAAAGAAAGTTTTTATATAGATTGAAAGTATAGTAGAAAAAGATGATAATATTAGAGAAATTTGGTATAACAGGTGTTCAAATCATAGAAATTTAATGATGTTGATAATGATTTGGGTTGTGTATTTTCTGTAGAGTCATTTTCCATTTTAAGCTTAGTTTTTCCAACTATGAAAAGTGCCATAGCCTGTCCTGTATGTTGGGTCTAACTATCATTATTTTGGTTTTCTGTATAAATGAACTTACCTATCTGTTTACTTATATTATTCTCTTCTAAGAATGGTCTATTAAATGTAAAAAACATTATTATCTTAAAAGTGGTAGCTGTATTTATAAATTCTATAAAAGAAATTATTGAAAAGGGTTATAAGAAGTTATTAAAAGTAAAGTAGTAGAGTTTTGGTTTAGATTTGGTTTAGAAATAAGATTTTTAGTATCTTGGTTGATATTAAGAGGTTTTTGATTTGTATTGGAGTCAGATATAATTATATCATTATTGGAAATTATTAAGAAGTTTGAAAAAGTTTGGTTTGTTTTTTTTGATTTATTTGTATTAGATAATTTAACTATGTTTTTAGTAATAGTTGGGTTGAATTTGGGTTTGAAGAAGTTAGTACTAATTTTAGGAGCATTAAATTATACTTTGAATTTTGAAAGCAAAGTTTTCTCTGCTTCTAGATAAAAACATTCTTTGTAAACTTTTCTAATATATAAGATAAATAGTTTGTTGAAAGATTTAAAAATATAAAAATAGGTGATTACTTTGACTAAGTAATAAGTATTAACTGGTTTGGATGCAATTTTATCAATTGCTTTTTAAAGGTAAAGATTATTAATTTGATCATTAATAGCAGCTGATTTTAGATATGCATTAAAATATATAAAAATAGTAGCTTTTATGACTATAATCAGAATCTTCTGCTTTGTTAAGATTGTTTTGTTTCAAGAATTTTTCTTCAGCTTTAGCTACAAGTTGTTGTAAATAAGTAATAGGTATAGGTTTTTGAAAAGTAGCAGAAAACTCATTATCATATCTAAATATAGAGATATTCAGAATTGGGTACAGGTATTTGGGCTTAGAACTTGAGAAAAGTTTGAGTTAACAAATGCTGGAAAATAGTTAAATGATTCTTTGAAAAAAAAAGTAGATAGGTTTTTAATGTCATATTCAGTATCTTTAAGAAATGTAGTACAATTTGTTACAGTACAAGTATAAATGTGATAAAGTGCTGCTTTGAAGCATTGTTGATAACATTCATATAATGAGTCAATGGAATTAATACGTAGTAAATTGCTAGAGTAGAAGGGCTTTACATGTGTTAGAGAGTTTTAGGACAATTTAATATTTAATGAAGGTTTTTTGTTTATCAATTTTGATAAATTGATGTTTAAAAATATCAAAGAATTTTTTAAACCATAATTTGAATTTTGTTAGATAGTTGTTAAGAGAAGGAATTTAGAATGTTTGAAGAAAATAATGTTTAGATATATTAAGAAAAATATTAATGTTTTTTTTTTTTTTAGCTTTGGCAACAATGCCAATTGGTTTATTAGCTTTAATTTAAAATAGTACAGATTTATGATTACATTTTAGAATCAATTATTACTAGTACTATATACTATCTAATTTCACACTATTAACTTAACTCAGTTACCCTTATGGCACCTAAGTGCATGTTTGCCACATGCCTGTACACATTTATCTTGACAACTACTTGCAATTAGGGCACACCTTAAACTACTACACAGACAAAGATACCTACTGAACTTAATGTAGTATTCCAAATGCCAGAGGTACTGTTTTCTATAAATTGTACCTATGTGTTCTACTTACATGTTGTATCTAGTCTTGTTTCTTCTGTCTCCTAATCTAACTATATTTAATATTACCTTGTTCTTCATATTTTTTACCTTTTTATTACTATATTACTCCCAAATTGGTCCTACTTAGGTATATCTGATCCTTATAATCTTTTATCTTTAGTATGCCTGTTATTGATTTCTCTAAGATGTTCTAACAATGGTCTAGAATTTTCAATAAAC